AGATCCTGGCCGAATCGATCAGCGGACAAATCGATTTGATTGAGGTAAATCTCTCCCCTCTTCGTGCTTTCTCATGCTTTACCATGGCTTTTCTTTTCGGTGGAGAAGAAGGAAAGAAGGGTTGCTAGAAAAACTTTTGTTGATTGACTCCTTTCTTACTTATAGTCGACCCTCGATATATTCGCCGTGTACGCTTCGAAGGTTCAGGAAATCTTAGTGGCGGACTTCGCGTTCTTGTTGGATACTATTGTGGAGGTTGCGCAGTTCCTTCGGGATTAGGTTTTGCGTTCGCGGAGGAGGCATTTCTTGGGGGGGTTAGGGAAGGAGAAAAGAAGGGGAGCGATATGGGTACTTTGCAAAGAAAAGGGTTACTTAATAAGTAGGTTTACGCGGGTCAATATATATACGGTTGGTCGTATAACAATGATACGTTGAATTTGGTCCGAAGGAAATCATAGAAGTTGTCTTCAAATCATTCCTTGGTAGCCACGTGACTGGCACTGCATAGTCTCCTCTCCGTAGCATAGATAGCACAATCAGATCTCCATAGTAAAAACCTTCTTCTACAAACATGCTCGTAAGCTCATCCTAGAATGTCAGCTTCTCCTAGAGCCAGAAGAAATTCTGGATCATATTATCAAGCCAAAGGTTGGGACCAAAGCGATAGATCGCTAGAAGAGTGCGAGAACGGGAAAAGGACTTCTGTGCATGGGCTGTAAAGCTAGAAAAGACCAGAGCCAAAAGGTGTTTCAAGCACGCAAAGAGCAAAAAGTTCACTTCACTTGTACCTCCACTCTCTAACTTTGCCGTAGGAGAGGTTAGATGCTGGAAGGAGAGGTACATCCGCTATGAAAACTGACAAGGTCGAGTTTTGCTACCCAGCAGTGAAACCGCTGAGCCATATGTCCAGAAGACAGTTGATTGTGACGCCGAATAATATATATTCTCGAGTGTTTCTTGCATGCATCGGTGTTCTTCGCCTTCGGGACATTGCCTGTCTAGGAAATTAAGAGAAATGCTCCTTGAAGGGGACCCTAGGTAGGAACAATTAGTAGAGCTACATCCTACAATGCCTTACTGCCGAAATATTACGAGAAGAATTCTAGCCATAGATGGTTTTCCCAGTTCTTCATTGGCGATCATTTGCGATATATTGCAGAGCTGATAGGCTGGAGGAAGCTTTCCTCTACACGCAGCATCCTTCCGACATTCCAACGACGAATCCGGCATCACTAGAGCACCCCAGGAAGCAATGGGGGTGTAGTCATGGTTGCTACATGAATATGGCGTGCTTGTAGCAGTGGAGGAGACATTTTGGCCAGTGTGTCAACAGGAGATTGAAGACAACTATGCTCATTGAAGGACTCGAAGAAGAACGCGACTCCCGTTCATAAAAGAAGAGAACAACATGATCTCCGTTAAGCTGCCCGGGAGGGGATATTGATATTATGTCAAACTGCTGTGCGGAGTACGTAGAAAGCAAGTTGTTCGAGAGCTAGGGGGGTAGAGAGCGTAGATCTATGTACAATTGGCTGTACGGAGTACCATACAGCGAAATTAGAAGCGAAATTGCAGTAGAAATTGACCAATCGATAGCAGGCAAAACGCAGGGATTACGCGTATGAAAGCTGGCCAATAGGCCCTCTCAGAAATATAACAGTAAATAAAGAGCTTGAAATATAGGGATGTGAGAACCAAGTTTTCAAGTTGAACCGATTCGATGTTTTGGACACTCGGGTAGACCCTACAAGTATCAGGGAATAGATGAATTGAGTGTGGTTCGAAACCCAATTAGCGCTGTCCTTTGGGTAGAGTGGTTGATGCATAGGCTTAAATAATCACACGACCTTCCGCCAATGTCTTTCTGCATCATTGACAGTCATAGCCATAGCCATAGCCATAGCTAGTGCTGGTGTAACATTAGACCAAGATTTTGGTAAGTACGGGTACTGTAAACATTCGCTTCCTACAATGCTCTTGACATCGAACCAACAGCAATCATCCTCTTGATGGCGCGCTCTCACATCATCACAGCGATGATTACTGCCTGCATCGCTCTTTTCTTATTCTGGCAGCTGGCTGTCAACTTCATTTTCTCTGCAGATAACTCTCCTCTTACCGTCACCCTTGATCATGACAGCAATGCTCAGCACCAAGTCTTGCAAGATGGCGAATACCTGCTGGGCGTGGGGAAGGCTGACATCACCGGTCCTGTGGTCGAGATCAATATGATGGGCTATGCCGACATGGACCAAAATGGATCTGGCCTACGACAGCGACTGTACTGTCGGGCTTTCATCGTTGGCAGTATTTCTGAGCCCAGCGCAAGAATCGTCTATCTCGTTCTAGACACTCAGTCTGGCGATACCGCCATTCGGCATGGCATCCTGGAGGGACTTAAGGGTCTGGGGGACAACTTCGCTGTCTATACCAAGAACAATGTTGCGGTCACCGGTACACATTCTCACGCGGGACCGGGCGCCTGGCTCAACTATCTACTGCCTCAGTTCACAAGCAAAGGATTCGACAAGTCAAGCTATCAAGCCATCGTTAACGGATCAATCCTGGCTATTCGAAGAGCCCATGAGAGTTTGGCTCCTGGCCACCTCAGTCTTGGGAGTACGGATGTGGAATCTGCCAATAGCAATCGTAGTCCATATGCATACGAAGCGAATCCGCAGGAAGAGAGGTCAAGGTACAGCTCTGATGTGGACAAGACCATGACAATCCTCCGCTTCGATCGAGCATCAGATGGGAAAGCAATGGGCATGCTCTCCTGGTTCGCCGTACATGGTACCTCGCTGTACGGCAACAACACTCTCATCTCCGGCGACAACAAAGGAGTAGCTGCCTATCTATTTGAGCGCAGCATGTCCTCCACCCATCCCGGCTTCGTAGCCGGCTTCTCCCAGGCCAACGTTGGCGACACCACCCCCAACATCCTCGGCGCCTACTGCGAAGACACAGGTCTACCCTGCCGCTTCAACGACAGCACCTGCTCCGGCAAGATCAAAACCTGCCATGGCCGAGGCCCCTTCTGGACCATTCCAGACCAGGGTACCAAATCCTGCTTCGACATCGGGCGGCGCCAATCCGTTGCCGCACAATCTCTGTTCAACAATCCATCCTCCCTCCGCCGCCTCTCCGGCAGCGCCTCCACAGTCTCTTCCCTCCACACCTACGTCAATTTATCATCCTACACCTTCCCCTCCCCCTTCAACGCGTCCGTGATCCGTTCAACCCGCTCTGCAGCCCTCGGCCACTCCTTTGCGGGCGGCACCACCGACGGGCCGGGAGCCTTCGACTTTAGACAAGGCGACACCGACAACTCGACCGACTCCCCCAGCCAACGAAATCCGTTATGGAGACTCGCGCGGGCATTCGTGCACGAACCCAGCGCGGCGCAAGAAGCCTGCCAATCCCCCAAACCCATCCTCCTCGACGTCGGCGCCGCAGACACCCCCTACGCCTGGACGCCCAATATCGTGGACATCCAACTGCTGCGCGTGGGACCCTTACTGATGATAATCTCTCCCGGGGAAGCAACCACGATGTCCGGGCGACGATGGCGCGAGACACTCGCCTCAGCCGCTCCATCCGTCCTAGGCATCTCCGATCCCGTCGTGGTGCTCGGCGGCCCCGCAAACACATACACGCACTACATCGCCACGGAGCAGGAATACGGCATCCAGCGCTACGAGGGCGCCAGCACCCTCTACGGGCCCCACACCCTCGAAGCCTACATCAACCTCACCCTCAGCTACCTCCCCTACCTCGGCGACCGCGGAACGGGGAACGCGCTCCCGCCCCTCCCCCCCGGCCCNNNNCGCCCCTCCCCCCCGGCCCGCAACCGCCCATCAACACGAACCGATCCCTCTCCTTCATCGGCCGCGTCGTCCTGGACAACGCGCCCCTCTTCAAGCGCTTCGGCGACGTGCTGGCCAGCCCGCAGCCCCTCGCGTCGCGCACCTACCTGCCCGGCGAGACCGTCGCGACGCGCTTCGTCGGCGCGAATCCGCGCAACAACTTCCGTCTCGAGGGCACGTTTGCCGCGCGGTCGAGAAACTCGACACGGATGCTGGTGCAGGGGAGAAGTGGGACGTGGTGCGCACGGATGCGGATTGGAATCTCGTCTTCAGGTGGGACAGGAAGAGCACCGTGCTCGGCACCAGCGAGGTTCGCGTCGAGTGGGAGATTGAAGACATCCAGGATCGGGATCGGGATCGGGATCAGGGCGGTGGTGTGCCGGTGGAGCCCGGCCTGTACCGGATGCGGTATTTTGGGGATGCCAAGGCGTTGAATGGTGAGATCACGCCGTTCGAGGGGACGGGGGGTGTTTTTCGCGTTGGCGAGTTAGGTGGGAATGCGAATGACAATGACAATGACAATGACTTGAAGACTGCTAAGGGCAGGGCACACGTTGTTAAAGGCAGAGGATGGACGGGAGGGCGATATTGAGTTTGGAGGGGCGGAAGGAGGCATGATTACTAGTTAGTTAGTCCGTCTATTTGTCGTTGTAAGTA